GAAGTACAGCCAGAATGCTCCTTAGAAGCAAGGATGGTGAGTGTTCGTCTCATTTATGTTGGACATGTTATCAGGAGGGATCAGTCCCTGGAGAAGGACATCATGCTTGGAAAAGCAGAGGCTCAGTGAAAAAGAGGAAGACCTCAAAGAGACGGATTGACACAGTGGCTGCAACAATGGGCTCAAGCATGATAATGATCATGAGAAAGGCACAGGCCTGAGCAGTGTTTCATTCTGTTGTATATAGGGTCGCTATGAGATGGAACCCATTCAACAGCACCTAACAACAACAACAACATCAAAATAGTGATGAAACTTCTATCTCATATATAACTTATGGAATTACAAATCAGTAATTTTGGAAAGCTAGTTGGCAAAACAATTCCAAATCTATTAAAGTGTTTATAATCTTTGACACAATGATTTTACTTTCTGGGAATCACTCCCAAGGAAATATTGGAAAATTATAATCATTAAGATGTTCATTACATTGTTTATGATGGGGAGAAAAAAATAAGAAAAGAAATAAAACAAACAAAACGGCTTTCACTAAAATAATTTTCAGGACCTTCATCTGCTGATATGGCACTACTCAAAATGAGAAGAGACAGCTACAAACATCCATTAATAATCAGAACGTGGAATGTACAAAGTATGAATCAAGGAAAATTGGAAGTTGTCAAAAATGAAGTGGAATGCTTGAAGATCGATATCCTAGGCATTAGTGAGCTGAAATGGACTAGTATTGGCCATTTTGAATCAGACAATCATATGGTCTACTACACCAGGAATGGCAAATTGAAGAGGAATGGCATCACATTTATCATCAAAAAGAACATTTCAAGATCTGTCCTGAAGTACAGTGTTGTCAATGACAGGATAATATTCATACACGTGCAAGGAAGAACAGTTAATACAACTATTATTCAAATTTACATACCAACCACTAATGCCAGAGATGAAGAAAATGAAGATTTTTACCAACTTCTACAGTCTGAAACTGATCAAACATGTAATCAAGATACACTGATAATTAATAATGATTGGAATGCAAAAGTTGGAAACAAAGAAGGATCAATAGTTGGAAAATATAGCCTCAGTGACAGAAAGGACATGGGAGATTGCATGATAGAATTTTGCAAGACCAACAACTTATTCATTGGTGAGGTGTAATGGATCACTTTTATATGGCCTTTCTTGGCATGGTATTGTAATTCCCACCCAAGTAATTAGGTGGGACTATACACATAAGGTAATTGTGGCCCACCAAGGGGATTGGATAGCTTGCTAATAATGTAAATAAAGTTCATGGCACCTGTGTTGGGGTAGGACCATGTCAATAAGGTCTATGGAACCCTAATGAACAGACTGGTCAGTTTTGCCATCCCACTAGGCTTAAAATGAGCCATCCCAGAGGCGGGAGGAGAGGATCTCACCACCAGAAAGGAAGAAGAGCCAGGAACGCAGTGCATCCTTTGGGCCCAGGATCCCTGCACTGAGAAGCTCCTGGAACCAGG